CAACAGCTACCTGGAATGAAGTTAATGTTGACATAAATGTGTATAACTCTAAGTAATCCATTTTAACTAAATCTTATTTGAGTTTTCTTTCATTTAGTCTCGTGCATTTTTATGCCTAAACATAAAAGCTAATTTTTCAGGACATTGAACCTTATAACTATCTTCTTTCTCAGCCTTAACGCACTTGATGACGGTGTTAATTCAAAATATTGTTTAGGTGAGTTTGATCATTTTTCCCTGGTCTCTTCATATATTAGAAAAGGTGGTATGTACAATTATTGTATCAACTTTTTTAAACCGTATTTCTAGGAAATGAATATCATTCATTCAAATTATTATCAATGCATGGCAGAAAAATGCATTTTGTTTGTAGTTCGTTACTTCACCATTCGCGTGTTAAAAAAACAAATCAATGAATAGGTAATACTTGTTTTGCATAATTGACGATCAGTTACTGAGGCAGTCATGCTCTATTTAAAACATACTTCTAGTAATTACATTGTTGGATTGTCTGCTAATTTTTTTAATCACGTGCGTGAGTGGCCGCATTAGGTATTGTAAAACGCATCGTGGATTTTGTAAAGTAACAAGTTACAGACCTAAATGTGCGGCATTTGATTTTTTTTTATTGATAAAGTAAGTGCAAAATATCACCTGTTGGAAAGTGACGATGAGGTCGACGATGGAGCATGCATACCTCAATAATGCCTATTAACTCTCGCCTTGAAAAGGCCCAACTTATAGCGTTCAGGGAATAATTCTACACACAAAGAATTTAATAACACACACACTCAACAAGGCCCCGCACTAGGGAAACGTGTCGCGAGTGCCATGGACACACACATAGACAACCACAAAATACACCCAAACTCGCGAAAGAAATAAATGTTGCCATACAAATATTTCTCCCGGCACGGGAATTGAATCTGGGACCTCTGCGTGGCAGCCCGACTTGGTGACCGTTCGGCCACCGAGGCAGCAATCTTTGACGGCCTCTGTGGTCGATTGGCTTGCACACCGGTTTTCATGGTGAAGCCATCTTTGAGGTCCCGGCTTCGATCCCATGCCGGGTCAGTGTAGAAAATTAACTGACTTTTCCATATTGTCTCGGATCTGGGTGTTTGTGGTACCGTCGTTGTTTCCAAATTCCATAACACAAATGCTTTAGCTACTTACTTTGGGATCAGTACCAACGTATATGATGTCGTCTAAGGTTTATTTAAAAAAAAATAAAAAATCTGTCAATCGTGATGATACCTGTAGGATGAGGACAATTCACTATTTTTGGAAAACGTGGGAAGTCTAGAACTATGATATATATGAAGAACTATTACTACTAACTACTAAGAAATCAATCCACTTCTGATATAGAAACTATTATTAATTAAAACAATTCTTAGAATCACAAATACAAACAAACAATACAATAATATTCCTGCACCCGTAGTATGGCTACGCATGATAGTCGCGACGCGCGCGATAAAATTGAAATAAGCGTGCGCTATTGGCTGTGTCAATCAGATCTAATTTATGATTTCTCAATTTTATATATATATACATATGAGGATTTTCTTAGATGTCCATGGATTCATTCAGATTTTCATGGATCATCAGATTCTAACTTGGTGACAATGGGACCACCACGAGAATGTACCCGAAAAAACAAAAAAAGGATTTTCAAAATCAATGCACTATTGACGGAGAAATCGGAAAACACACATAAAACGCAAACAGCCGAGCGTATAACCTTCTCTTTTTTTTAAAGTCGGTTAAGAAAACTATCTCAGAACCTAAGTGATATGAAGTAATGGACGCAGTTCGTGTTTACTGCAATTCCAGTTCAAAGTTAACATAATGAATGCCACGTAATAAAAGCAGGCCATAGAATAGAAATCAACGCATGGAAACCCAATCACGCAAGAATTCAGCACGTATTCAAGGAGAAGGATGAACGCAGGTACGCCCTGCATCTAACTGCAGTATACGTACAGTGAACCACAACACGAGAACATAAAATTATACAATTTTTTTTTTTTTTTTTGTAAGTAGTACCTTACGTAACGTTGAAATTTACGTTAAAAAAGGTGGTAACAACATCATTGTTCTCGATAACGTGAATTTGAGAGTACATATCAACGAATAAGTCGCACCCGTGGTGTAATAAGGCCACATCTGCAAAATGACAATTTTTCAGGAACGAAATTAGTCGATAACAATTTTATTCCCAAATAGGAAATACTACTTACTACTACATACTTTCTCAAACTCGTATCTTATAAGCTCAAATTAACTGAAATGCAAAAAATGCATCGTATATACAAATGTGCAGGCTGATTTCACATCATATTTCCTTTATATTCACACACTGGCTTACCTATTCTTAACACGTTCCCTGTGCATGCATCATATGTGATGCATTTCGAGGTCCAAACGACACGTGAGTGCACCACATATGAGACACGACCCTTTGTAACTTTAAAAGTTTTTCAAAATTTGCACGTGTAAGCTAGATTATCTTTATTTGCTTGCACGTATGGACCACAAAAATTGTGACAATAAGCAAGTGGTACCGGATGACTTTTTAACCAATGTTGCCAGATTATTACTATCAAAATAAATCACGAAAAATATTTATTATTTTTTTATTACAAGTTAGAAAGGTCTAATTATTGACTTGCGTATACGGCACATGATAATAAAAACCAAACAATAATCAAATAAAGAATGTCATAAAACCCAAGAATCAAAAATTGACTGGTAAGCACAACTAAAATCATTATTTAATGGCTAGCATTGTAGCAATGAAGGCACAATGCTTTTTTACACATCATACATTCGGTGTCCGTTTGCTTTGCCTTTCTACGAGCTTCTGTAGGTGTGTTGCCTTGTTCAGTCATAATTTTGTAGCAACCAACACAACGCTTTCTGGAAATTTTGGTAGCACATCGGCGTGGGATTTTGGTCAATTCATGGCGGGACAAGTTAGATGTCATTGATGGCCCAGCTAACGGCTCAGCATCTTGAATTTCCAGGAGATGACTGATAATTATTTCATGACCTGTCAGCAGTGTCATTTTATTATTTCGATGGAGGTCCTTGTAGATCAAAATTGCATTTACAACAGCTACCGACATCAGATCACCCGCAATTTTTTTGTACCAAAAACAAGTTTTGCGAACGGGCGAATTGTAACTTGCGAGCTGATCAGCTATATCAATGCCCTTCTTGCCGCGATTGTAATCTAATACAATTTTAGGTTTCATGATTGGCCTGAAACCAGTGGACATTGCCATTTGATGATCATGACATGTTGATAAAACCAAAACTTTGTCAAACACTTAGATAACTATATAACTCGTAACACTTTATAATAAACTTTCACTAACTTTTTCTATCTTTTCACGGTATAGACTACAGATATTTAACTAAAACATCTGTCAAAATGACTCTAAGCGTGCATGAATTATATGTGATGCATTAAGTAAACAACTAGTACGTGCATGCACCATATATGTGGCATCAAGTAAAGAGCTCATACGTGCGTGTATCATATATGGGGCACTCGGGAAAAATTAGATAATGGAAAGGGAGTTTATGAAAATGAATTTTCTATCCATAAATGTATTAATATATATCAATTCCGACATATTTGCAAAAAAAAAAAATTGCACGTGAGGGGTCAATTTTTGATTTCTAGTTCCACAGGGAACGTGTTAAAGTAATGCATCCAAATTAAAATCCTTGATAAGAAATTTAAAATGAATAGAAGTTTTTGCCATGACCTAAATAATCACTCTTTATAAGATACAAGTTTGAGACAGTAAAGGCGACGATATAAATCATTTGTTTCAAAGGGGAATGATAAGGCTGCCATCACAGCTAAGCGTGGAATAACAAGGGCAAGTCGTGAAGATACTACAGATACAGAATTTGTCCCCAAATATAAATTGAAATGTGCTCAAACGTGGAATGAGTATTTTGAAATCAGATCGAGGGAAAAAGGTACCTATCCAGTATCGTTCAATTCAGTGTCAACCTCCGCGTTTGCCTTGATTTGCAGAGTGCGACTATGGTCGGAAAACAGTTGTCGTTGCACTAAGGATCAAAACCGTACACAAAAAAAAACAATTGTCCTAATTACGAGTTATGTAGAGTAGTGGAAGATGCATGTCACTTGTCACTGGAATATATCCGGTAGGTACGAGCAACAGCAGGCGGTGTTCAGCGTTGCCAGGTCTATTGTTTTTCCAGTAGATCTACTGTTTTTAGCAAACATCTACTGTTCTATTGTCAATGTATTTATTGTGTTTTAGAAATTTTTTGACTTTTCACTTTTTAAAACTATTCTTGTTGGCTTTTAGATTTTATGAATTGTCTTTTCAATTTATGACGTCGCACTTTTTGGAACAAAAATGTAGAGCACGCTTGAATAAAACTACAGACAACTGATGATGGTCATATTTTCCAAAAATAATACTACAAATCACAAAAATTTCACATGAGGCCGTCATTCAGTAAACCTCTTCTAATTAATAAGATTTTACCATATTTTGTCAGCAGTAACATTTTAATTTGTCTTGCCATTCATCAATTTGATCAATTACCAACAGAAAACCATGTAGTAAAATTAATTAAGGCAATTGCAAGTTCATATATTGACGTGCGTTTTCATTATTTAAGTTAATCGATAAGATTTTCTATTACAAAAAGATGTTATATAATAAGCTCATTTTATTCGAAGGACGATAATTTTAATATTTGAAGTGGATTAAAAATTAAAGTCATAATTTTTTTAAGTATTCATCATTTTCTCAAAACGAGTAAAATAAAGGAGTTATCTATCTTATTCTAATATTTTTCTACTATATTAATATAACGACGACTTGTAATCAACAAATACTTGAACAAAAATTATTCTATTTAGAGTCGATTAATTGAATGGAATACGCGTATCTACGCGTATTCCGTTGAATCAATCGATTTAGAGCGGAAGGAGGTTTCCCATACTAAATAGTTCTTGTGACGTCATAGCGGGTACAAAAGATGTGGCACGCTTGGTTTTCATACAAATAGCTGTACTTGCGGCGTCTATCTAAAAATACGAAACTAGAGCTAAATTTTCACGAGCCTAAACAAATTGAAAGAATAGCTACAAGCTATTATTACTGGCTATAGTGATCCAAAAGTAATCTATTAGCAATTACTTCTTAAAATAATTCATTTGTTCTTCGTCCCACTCATCATCTGCGTTCAATTTGCTATTATACTGATACTCGTACTTATAAGTATGTGCCAAGTGTTCTAATTTAATAAAATCTGTTGCCCGTTCTCCTATCATCATTGTTGGGGCATTGGTATTGCCACTTGTAATCTCTGGCATAATAGAAGCATCAATAACTCGTAACCCTGAGACGCCACGTACTTTCAAAGTATTATCTACAACGCCATATGGTCCCATAGCACAAGTTCCTACAGGATGGAGCAATGTCCCTGGAGTATTTTTCACAAAACATCTCCAATAATGATCAGTGCCCCAAAGTAAGTGGTTGCAACCAGTCACAGGAATTTTTGGAATATATCCATTCACTTTCTTGAAATAAGATGTATTTATCAAACGTGCTATGAATTTGACACCCTGAACAAAATTTTCCACGTCTCTTGGATCTCTGTAGATTCCTAGTTCGACAAAAGGATCATCAAGGGGATTCTTACTTTTAAGAGATACTTGGCCTCTTGAATAGGGATGCAGCATCACCAACTGGGTCATATCTATTTCTCTATTTAAATTAACTTCCGCCGTTGATAAACAATACGGTGCATCCAGGTTACCAACATTCTTACAGACAGCAAAAATGCTCGGTGAAGCTCCTACGCCCGAATGAATATTGAAAATCTGAAATTGAGGCCTCCTATCTTGAAAACCATAACTACAGTTATCAACTCGAAAAAAACCACATTGTACTGGTATAGGGTATGATCCAAGTTCTGTTACTGCAGCTAAATTCTGAACCACAGTCTGTAACCCACTTTGACCGGCAAGTACAATGCTCACAGTGATATGATCATGAAGATTCTTTCCAACTGGCAAATCCGCAATTATGTTTATATGATGTTTTTTTAATTCTTTTCTTGGCCCAATTCCTGATAACATTAAAAGTTTCGGACTGTTAACTGATCCTGCAGAAACTATAACTTCTTTGTTAGCGTATATTTCAATCATCTTTCCATTTTTTAGTAGAACTTGAACACCATAGGCGTGTTTCCTTTCTGATTCAATTAAAACTTTAGTGACTCTAGTGTACTTAGCTACTTTAAGATTAGGTCGATCCTTTGTCGACCTCAAATAAGCCTCTGCAGTGCTAGATCTTCTTCCATTCGCAAAAGTAAAATGTGGAATTGCAGCTCCAAATTTTTCAGGACCATTAATTTCTAGGATTCTTTTCACGCCTATTTCTTCTAGTGAATCCAAAAAGATTTCATTTTTCTCAGCATATATGATGTTAGTTTGAGGTCTAGATACTAATACAGGGCCTTTGGCGGAATGTAAATGCGCTGTACGACGATCATACAAGACAGAAGGATCTGTCATTCCTTCTAATTTCTTGTAATAGCGAAGAACAGTGTTCCAATCCCAGCCAGGTGCAATTTCATTCCATCCATCAAAATCTTCGGGTACACCTCTAGAGTAGATTTCATAGTTTACTGCAGATGAACCCCCAAGAACTTTGCCTTGAGTGTAATACAGGAAGCCTCCTGGATGAGCAAGACCTGTGCCTTTTTCGAAATAGGCGCGGTATTGCCAGTCCACACTCGTGTGGGCTAGCGTAGCAAATAAACTCGGGGCCTGAAATCAATAACAAAAGTATCATTTCAAGACCAGTCTCGAAATATGTTTATTTAATTATTTTTTATTTCTTTATTTATTGTAAATATATTTACACGGTATTACGGTTACAACGAATGCACCGTGAAAACTAAGCTAATTATGAAAAAATAATAATAACAATAGGATAAAAAAATAAAATACATTATAATAATAACTCGATTCCCTAGCATTTCACGAAATCTCAAGCATTCACAACTCACAGCCGTCCATCGCCACACTAACATATAACATTCCGGTGCCGATGTCCGGTTCGTTGAGCATTGTGAGGGCATAGAGCAGCGACGAATTCCGATGCGATACTGTACATGCCCAAGGAACTGCGAACAGTTCACGACGTCACGTTCTGAGACCTATTTTAGGGACGTCTGGGACAAAACTTACAAGTTGCCCACAAATTCAGGACAATCCGAGTCGCGCGTAAGACCTGACGAGCAA